ACCCTGCACACTGGTCTATACACTGTATATACCCTGCACACTGCATTACCCACTGGTCTTAACCCTGCACACTGGTCTATATACTGGACACTGTGTTACGCACTGGTCTATACCCTGCACACTGCATTACCCACTGGTCTATACCCTGCACACTGGTCTATACACTCTATACCCTGCACACTGCATTACCCACTGGTCTATACCCTGCTCACTGGTCTATACACTCTATACCCTGCACACTGGCCTATACACTGTCTATACCCTGCACACTCCACTACCCACTGGTCTATACCCTGCACACTGGCCTATACACTGTGCCACACACTGAGCTGCACACTGGCCTATACACTGTGCCACACACTACGCTGCACACTGGCCTATACACTGTTCCACACACTGAGCTGCACACTGGGCTATACACTGTGCCACACACTGAGCTGCACACTGGCCTTTACACTGTTCCACACACAACGCTGCACACTGGCCTATACACTGTGCCACACACTGAGCTGCACACTGGTCTAGAGTGATTCTCACCTTCGCTCTCTGGTTCTGAAACCACACCTGAACGACTCGTACGGTTAGTCCTGTCTCGGCTGCAAGAGTCTCTCGAACCTGCAGCCAAAGAGAACAGAAAGAGAAACATCAAGAGGGGCTGTGGGGGCATCTCTGAACATGCCCCTTGACTTTGTTATTGATACTTGAGTAATTGAGTAATGAATATACTTTATATGTGCCACAGGGAATAATGATCGCATATATTGATGATGGATAACACAAGGTTTGGAAATGTCTTGTTTACACTGGACTAAATGATCACATATATTGATTACAGCTGAGAGTGTACTGAGCAGTGTTTTAAGTACTTCTCGTTCACTTTGGTTATTTAATCATGTGTATTGATCACAGGTGAGCGTAAAGATCAGAGCTTGGGGTGTTTGTTGTTCACTGCGGGTTGTTTAATCATGTGTATTGATCATGGTTGAGTGTGTAGTGATCAGGGTTTAGGGTACATTGTTCACTGCGAGTTAGCCGCTCATGTGTATTGATCAGTACTGGTCAGGCTCTGGGGCGTCTCCCTGTCCAGGTCTGGAGGGCGCTCACCTTGCGACAGGGCTTGGAGGAGACCTCGAAGGAGGCCTTGAAGGCGCGGCGCTGCTGCGTGGTGAGGATGGTGCGCGGCCTCTTGGAGCGCTTGTGCTCCTTGCTGTCCTCGCCCCCCTTCCCTGGCACTGCGCCCGAGCCCTCCTCTTCATCGCTCTTCACTGCCGCCGGCACAGACAGGTCAAGGGTCATTATCGTCTAATGGCTGCTTGCTAAGATCTGCATCCCATTATTAACTGCTGAAGTATTGATGATTATTTTATATAATGTATAACCTGATCGAGTGGATTATATAGTAGTTTCTGCCACAGCAGTGACATTTAGCCAGCAGCCATATCACCCTGCAGCTCACAGCTCACAGCAGGCAGCCCGCTGGAGCTCAGCAGGTGTGAGCCTGGCCAGGGCCTGGGTGAGAGACCTCCTGGGAAAAACTAAGGTTGCTGCTGGAAGTGGTGTTAGTGGGGCCAGTAGGGGGCGCTCACCCTGTGGTCTGTGTGGGTCCTAATGCCCCAGTATAGTGACGGGGACACTAAACTGTAAAACAAAGGTGCCGTCCTATGGATGAGATGTAAAACCGAGGTCCTGACTCTCTGTGGTCATTAAAAATCCCAGGGTGTTTCTCAAAAAGAGTAGGGGTGTAACCCTAGTGCCCTGGACAAATGTCCCCCACTGCCCTCCTAATAACCCCCATCTCTGAACTGGCTTCATCACTCCGTTCTCCCCTCTGATAGCTGGTGTGTGGGGAGCATACTGGTACATCATCCAGGTGGGGCTGCACACTGGTGGCAGTGGAGGGGAGCTCACACTACCTGTAAAGCGCTCTAAGGGGAGTGTCCAGAAAAGTGCTCTAGAAGTGTAAGGAGTTATTATTATTCATGATTGCATAATCGGGCTGCATTATCATTATGGGGTATTGATCGGGACTGGGTCATGAAGTACCCGATCAGTGCGTGCCCCAGTCAGGCGTATCGATGGCCGCGGGTCTACCTGACTCGGTGGGCGCGGGGCTGATGGCAGACAGCATCTCCCTCTCCTTCTCGTAGTCGCCGCGGCACAGCAGCTGGCCCTCCTTGAGCACGAACTCGTCACCGCGCTGCAGCCGGCGGTCGCACTCGCAGCAGCAGAAGCACTCCACGTGGTAGACGTGCTCCAGCACACGCATGATCAGCTCCGAGGGCCCCACCACCTTCAGGCAGCTGCTGCACTTCGTCACAAACAGCCTGGGAGACAGGGAGAGGAGGAGAGACAGGGGACAGGAGAGAGGAGAGGAGAGAGAGAGGAGGAGAGACAGGGGACAGGAGAGAGGAGGAGAGACAGAGGAGAAGGGAGAGAGGAGGAGAGAAAGGGGAGAGGAGGAGAGAGAGAGGAGAAGGGAGAGAAAGAGAAGAGGAGAGACAGGGGAGAGGTGGAGAGACAGGGGAGAGGAGGAGAGAGAGAGAGAGGAGGAGATTGGAGAAGAGGAGAGAGGAGAGACAGGGGAAAGGAGGAGAGATAGGGGAAAGGAGAGGAAAGGATAAAAATAGAGGAGATAGGAAGGAAAGGGAAGAAGAAGAGAAAGAATATAGGAGGGAGAGAGATGAGGAGAGAAGGGAGAGGATGAGAAAGTAAAGGAAAAGAGAGAGGTACAGTGCTGTTACTGTTCAAGCACTTGCTGTGAATGGTCTGGCCAATGGCGAAGGTCTGAGTACGAGTCTGAAAGCGGGTCAGTAGCTCGCTGCTATTCCCAGCGACGGGCACTAGATGGCAGCAGTACTCTCCGCTACAAATCCTGAACCGAGAAATACTGAAGTTTGTATACCAAAACAGCTTTTTTTAAAACAGACGGCTAATGAGAAGACCTGCGCTGAAACAGTAATGTGTTTTAAAGTGTGCCAACCCAAGCCTGGTTCTACGTGCTATTCAGGACCTTCACAGTAGGGACAGACAGTAGTTCTCGCTCCCTCGCTCTCCGCTTCGCCACTGTCCGACCTGCATTTCTTCCGACTCGCTGTGTTCTGTGTACATCTGTCTCTCTGTCCCCTGTCTGCGCCCGTCCTCAGCCCCTCCTCTCCGCTACTCTTTATCACTTTCCCCGTCGTTGTTGCCTGGTCTCTCCCGCCCAGAGAAAGCAATAAAGGAAGGATTAATTAGGCGTGTTGTTTAAACAGCGCGGAGTCCAGACAGACGATGTCAACTCATAACAGAGGATTGGGGATATCGCGTGGGGTTAATCTCTACTGTGGGGCTCAGCACACTAGCGCACGCACACACTCTCGTGGACACACACCCCTGCAGACACACACATGCGCACCCCCCTCTACAGACACACACACTCACTGACACACACACATGAAACAGACATTCTCACACACACACACACACCCCTACAGACACATTCATCCCTGCAACACACTCACACACAGACACACACACACACTCCCTCTGACACTCACACTTTCTCACACAGAAAAGGTGTCAGTTACTGGAAGCTGGTAACAATGCGAAAACCAGCCAGGTCTAAAAATCTAATACCATAATCTTTCCTGGTCCAGTCTGAGAAGCATCTGCCAGTTTTAATCTTTCATTGGCTTAATAAATCCATCTGTCGGTCACGAAATAATAACACCCCAAAGACTCGCGCCTGTCCCCTCAAGGCGAAGACTGAGCAGCACCTCTTTGATTTCCAGCACGCTGTGCCAATGATGGCGGCTGTGGTCATGTGTGGTTCTGCCTGTGCCATGCTGTCAGTTTGTCACAGTGGGACCCTGCTCTCGTCTCTCCCCAGATCACCGTTTGGGAAGCAACACTTCTTTTCCCCGAGAAGCGCTGTTCGAAACGCTCTGGGGACAGAGCTGTCAAGCGACACTCAAAACCACAGAAACGCCACTTTCCATGTCTGTTAGCACACGACAAGGACTGGGGTAACTCAAACCACGACCTCACCAGAGCGGACCGGACTCCTGGTCTCCTCCATTGCCGATGGAGTTTCTC